TCATCCTCCTACAGATTTGCTTCTCAATTATGCTACTACATGTCCATCACATGGGCTTCTGGCTAAGTGGAAGGCTCCCTCTATTTGGTCACTCAGAGAGATCTGCTGGTAAAGTTACCATCTGTTGCTACACCTGTTGGAACACTAAGCCTGGAGACTACCATGGTAGGTGAGAAGACAATTGTGGAGTAGTGTATAGGCCTCAAACAACACAACTATTCTTCCCACTGGCCAGTATCTAGAACTGTTACAAGTCATATTTAGCTGACATGGGGCAGGCACATAGGGGAAAGCAGGTGGATTATTTCTATTCCACTATTTTTGTTTTTATTATCATATAAAATTTTATGATAGATAATATATAATCCATTGAAGACATATATAGTAGAAATTCTTATATATATTAATTCATATATTATATATATATAAAAAATGTGACAATCCCTGAAAATCTTATGAAGATGACAAGATATCATTTCCTCTTTATAAAAGAGAAGCAGAACTTGGAAGAGGCTAAATCCCTTATCAGAATTTGAGTTGGAGTAACCTAGGTTCCCAGAATAAATGTTGAACCATGACATTTGCATGTACTGAGAAAGGTGTGATAAGTCGGCTTTGGAGTGTGGACTCAGAGGTAATTGTGCAAATGAAAGAAGGATTTATTTCCTTTGCTGAAAAAAAAAAAAACTAACTTTCAGGCCAAAACTGTGATGATAAGAAAGGTGAGTATTGACAAAAAAATGATTTGCTAAGGGGCTGACGCCGTGGCACACTAGTTTAATCCTCCACCTGCGGCACCAGCATTCCATATGGGCACCGGTTCTAGTCCCGGCTGCTCCTCTTCCAGTCCAGCTCTCTGCTCTGGCCCGGGAGAGCAGTGGAGGATGGCCCAAGTGCTTGAGCCCCTGCACCCGCATGGGAGACCAGGAGGGAACTCCTGGCTCCTGGCTTCGGGTCGGCACAGCTCCGGCCGTTGCGGCCATTTGGGGAGTGAACCAATGGAGGGAAGACCTTTCTCTCTGTCTCTCTCTCACTGTAACTCTACCTGTCAAATAAATAAATAAAAAACCTAGAAAATAAGAAATAAAAAAAATGATTTGCTAAGGAGGCTTCTGAAGATGTCATAGAGAAAAAGCAAAAATGAAAAAAAAATTAAAAATTTAAGTATCAAATGCTGAAAAAACATGAAGTAATTCACGTGGATTTCTGGAGAGAGTCAAAATTTTGGAGCCTTTTCAGAAAAGGATTTGGGGGTTTCTTATCCAAATAAATATACCCTAACCATATGACCATCAATCCGATTCCTAGGTGTTTACTTAAATGACATGAAAACCTATGTTCACAAAGAAAACTTCACATGTTTAGATCGGCATCATTCATAACCACTCAATACTAAACCCAATACAAACTATCTTTAACTGCAGAATGGAAAATAATCTGTAATGTCCCTTCAATGCAATACCACTCTACATGAAAAAAGATTCCACTGACACAGATAACAATAGAGACGGGCCTCAAATACTAAGTGTAAGATGCCAGTCTCAAATATCTCATGCTCTAACATTTTACTTAAGTGTATTCTAACAAACACAAAAATTATGTGAACAAAAACATCATTTTTTTTTTTTTTGACAGGCAGAGTGGACAGTGAGCGAGAGAGACAGAGAGAAAGGTCTTCCTTTGCCGTTGGTTCACCCTCCAATGGCCGCCGCGGCCGGCGCGCTGCAGCCGGCGCACTGCAGCCGGCGCACCGCGCTGATCCGATGGCAGGAGCCAGGAGCCAGGTGCTTTTCCTGGTCTCCCATGGGGTGCAGGGCCCAAGCACCTGGGCCATCCTCCACTGCACTCCCTGGCCACAGCAGAGAGCTGGCCTGGAAAAGGGGCAACTGGGACAGAATCCGGTGCCCCAACCGGGACTAGAACCCGGTGTGCCGGCGCCGCTAGGCGGAGGATTAGCCTAGTGAGCCGCGGCGCCGGCCGAACAAAAACATCTTATTTGTTATCAGGTTGGCAGGTGGGAAAAGAGGTCATCAAAAACTCAGAAGAATTTCTGTGGTAGTGGTTATGTGACCACATATTCGACAAAATTCCTAGAAAAATACACTAAAAAGTTTGACTGTTTCTATATGTAAGTTATACATTAATTAGAAAAGTTGTGACTAACAAGTAATACAAAAGCGTGTGGTACATTAAAAGTAACCAGCTTGATTCCCACGGGAAGTTTAATTGCTTCTTTTCTAGGAAAGTAGGGTGGGGAGCTGTGAGATCTCTCACTGGGAGATCTCCAGAGATTTCCACGTCTCTCTAACTCTCTCCATATCTCCATGTATTAGAGTCTGAAGGCTCACTGGGACTCAGCATGACATTGTTTCAAAGACTGTTCTGCACGCACAGGCCACTGCTCATCACCTATTCATTCATTCACCTGGATGATAATCATTGTTGGCACACACAGGCTTTCTTCTGACCTGAAGATTTACTAGGAGCCCTCCATCATGGTCAGGGTGAATACCCAAAGAAAGAAATTACATTGATTGACTTATAAATAACAATCTCTGTGAGATGTCTCATAGACTTCTCTGTTGTTTACAGATACAATGTGTGAATTATGTGACACAGGTAATATGATATTTGACAAACAAGGAGGAGGTAAGTGACTCTTCCAAGAACATAGACATAATGAATAATGGTTTTAGGACTTGATTTATGTTAATATGCTTCCCTCTCTTTTTCCTTGCTCCAGGGAGCTTGAAAACTTCAGAATACTACCTGAGAGAGAACTTCTCTCCTGGCATTTATGGCTGATTTTCTGACTTGGGTTCCACTATTCTAGATTAACTGTTCTTTCTCTTCCAGCAAGCTGGTAAGCCTCTATATTCCACACATACTTTCAGTGAGAATGTGTCGTGCAAAAGTAATAGGACAGATAGTAGAGACCTACTATGAATTATTGTAAAAATGAAAATAGAGGTTTTGAAAATTGTTCTAAAAATAATGAGGTGAGTCTGGGCTTTATGTGGAAACTTCCATCACAGGGAAGTCAGCAGCTCTGATGAAGCATCATGCTTCCTCTCCCTGAAATAGGAACAGAAAAATAGATGTAAAACTCCAATTAAGTTAACTATTTATTTATATCTCATCGGGGAGCCTAAAAAGAGCAAAGAACAAGAGCAGTGAAATGATCGTTCTTTAAATGACAAATCAACAAGAACTGAACTGCGTTTGAAACTTTCCTCCATAATCTAATGCATGTTTTACTATACATTTACAGCTGACAATGATATGGCTAAAAGTGTAGAATTTCTTCTTTCATTTTTGTTTTATTTATATATGATTTATAGAGCAGAATTCACATTTTGAAAATATTTCTATAATTTATAAAAATTTAATAGCATGGACGTTTCTTAGGTTGCAAATGAGCTTAACTCTTGAATCTTGATTCTTTTTTCTATTAGCTGCATAATTTTAGAACATCACATATCTTCTCAAATCCTCAATTTCCTGATACACAAAATTACAGTAACACTACTACCAGGCCAGCGCTGCAGCTCAATAGGCTAATCCTCTGCCTTGCGGCACCGGCACACTGGGTTCTAGTCCCAGTTGGGGCGCCAGATTCTGTCCCGGTTGCCCCTCTTCCAGGCCAGCTCTCTGCTGTGGCCAGGGAGTGCAGTGGAGGATGGCCCAAGTCCTTGGGCCCTGCACCCCAAGGGAGACCAGGAGAAGCACCTGGCTCCTGCCTTCGGATCAGCGTGGTGAGCTGGCCGCAGTGCACAGGCCACGGTGGCCATTGGAGGGTGAACCAACTGCAAAAGGAAGACCTTTCTCTATGTCTCTCTGTCTCTCTCTCTCACTGCCCACTCTGCCTGTCAAAAAAAAAATAACACTACTACCAACTTTTATATATATATATGAAATTTTAAATAAAATTTTATTTTTTAATGTTTTAATAGATTCAATATGATTTGTAGATACAATTTTAAGAACATAATGCTATTCCCTTTCTCCCCCAACCCTCTGTCCCTCTCTCCTCCCACTCTCCTTCCTTCTCCCTTTCTTTTTTTTAGAATAGTGTCAATGTGCTAATGACAGGCCATAAATCAGGTTCTTTAAAACTTTGCTATCTATAATTTGGCTATTGGATAACAATAATAAGAGAAAGAATAAATTTAAGAAACCAAATAACTTTTTTTCTTCTTCACTTACTTTTAAAAATCCTTAAAATATTTTGATTAATAACAATTATAGATATTTGTAAAGTACAAACTGTAACATTTCAGCACACTCATTTAATGTGTTCTGTAACAAATCAGGGTAACTAACATCCCCCCATCTTTATGATCACTTTATTATTGGAGCCTTTCAGCTCCTCTCAATTTGCTTAGAAAATATATAAGTAAAAAAGGATATATAAGGAGTTATTGTGAACTACAGTCACTCCACCATGCTGCATAACACCAGGAACTCACTTCTTCAACAGATGAACAGGTAGAGAAAATGTGGTTGGCCGGCGCCATGGCTCACTAGGCTAATCCTCCACCTGCAGTGCAGGAACCCCAATTGGGGTGCCAGGTACTAATCCCGGTTGCTCCTCTTCCAGTCCAGCTCTCTGCTGTGGCCGGGGAGGGCAGCAGAGGACGGCCCAAGTGCTTGGGTCCCTGCATCCGCATGGGAGACAGGGAGGAAGCACCCGGCTCCTGGCTTCAGATCGGTGTAGTGCCAGCCATAGCGGCCATTAGGGGAGTGAACTAACAGAAGGAAGACCTTTCTCTCTGTCTCTCTCACTATCTATAATTTTACCTGTCAATTAAAAAGTAAATAAATAAAATTTAAAACAGAAAATGTGTATACATATATACACATACAAAGGAATAATATTCAGTCATAGAAAACAATGAAATTCTGTCTTTTGCAACAAAATGGATGGTACTGTAAGTAATTGTGTTAACTGGAATAAGCCAGACACAGGAAAGTATTTATCACAGGTTCTACCTCTAAATCTGCACAAAGAATAACAACAATTAGATGCTGGGGAGATCATGGTGGATGGGTGGAGGCTGGATAACAGGTGTATCAGGATTAGAAAGAAGGAAACAAGACTTTTAGACACATGATAAAGTATGAGTTTCAAGGAAGAAATTTTCCAAGTGAAAACAGGCTGAGAATACCCAAGAGCATAGAATACGTCAGTGCAGAAGCAAAGACAAATTAAAGAAGGTAAAGACTTTAAAACACCACACCTGACCTCCAACATGTCACCTCCTACCTTTATCAAACCAACAAAAACACCATCACCCATCCTAAGAATGTTACAGCTCTCATCAAACTGTGCTTAACACCCAGAATTTTTTGCCTCACCTAATTTAATTCTCACATAATATCTCAAAGTAGGTCTTATTACCCTGGTTATTTTGTACATGGAAATAAGATGCTTAGAAGAATTAGTTTAGGAACAATCACTCCTAGGTAATAAATGCTGTCAGTAATACGCATTTCCTTTAAGCACCCAATCTCTCTATCCGCTCTATCTGATGATATTCCTTCTCCCAGAATTGCCTCTGCTTATTAGACATGCTCCTACTTTCTCAGTTATCCCATCACATCTACAAAAAGATATGCTGCTACTATTCAAGAGTGAAACCTATCTTCAGCATAATCAGAAATCCCAGCTTTTAACTACATCATTGTCAATATGTGTACCTGTGCCTAGCAAGAGTGCTATTACAGGAAAGAGACTAAGATGTACTTCAGGACTATCTGTTAATTTATTACCCTTTTAAAATTTAAGGAAGTGTTATTTAACTATTCTAATGTGTGTAGTTGTTTGTTTTACCTCATCCTAGAAAACACCATCACCATCTAATTATTCACTTAATTCATTATGAAATCACAAACACCAAATTTGAACCAAAGGAGACCATGAGTAATTGTAAATTGAGAAGTCAATTTTACTTAAGTTGAATTTATACTAGTAGATACAGGGATCACTCAGAATGGGTTTAAAAGTTGGCATGGACTCAAAGCATAACTGGCAACTAAAATTTATGTAAATATGGATGTTATTCAGTCTCTTGAGTTTGACAAGTTTAATTAATATAACTAATCAAACATAATTTTAGAAGCACTCAGAATAAATCTATAAGTTTCAAGAATTGTATTTGGCAGTTGTGGAATGTTAAGTGTCAGTTTTTACTATGCTTATGAAAAGCCAATTGGCAGAAAATATTTGGCTTACAAATTCATACAATTTAAACATTGGGTAGATGCTCCATCAAGCTTCTTCAGACTCAACAATACATGTAACCGAGTTTATAATTAAGGACTAAACTTGGTTGCGAAAGGCTTGCTTTTTCTGAAGAATCTTAACGTGTACATGATTGCTACAATGAAAGAATATATATTTTATCTATATATTTCTATTTAATTCAATTTTTGTCACTCTGTTCCCTTTATCTTCTTCCTGTGGAGCATCTTGTGATATTCAGCTGACACTGATGGAGAACAGGACAGAAGTGGCACAGTTCATCCTTCTAGGACTAACCAATGACCCAAAACTGCAGGTTCCCCTCTTTGTTATGTTCTTCCTAATCTATACCATCACTCTGGTTGGAAACCTGGGAATAATTGTGTTAATTCTCTGGGACTGTCGTCTCCACACTCCCATGTACTTTTTCCTTGGTCACCTGTCTCTGGTGGACTTTTGCTACTCTTCAGCTGTCACTCCCACTGTCATGGCTGAATTCCTTATGAGCAACAATGTCATCTCCTACGGTTCCTGTGTTGTTCAGATGTTCTTTTTTGCAGCCTTTGCTACTGTAGAAAATTTCCTTTTGGCATCTATGGCTTATGACCGCTATGTAGCAGTATGCAAACCCCTACATTACACTGCCACCATGACGACAAGTGTGTGTGCTCGTCTCATCACAGGTTCCTATATCTATAGTTTCCTGAATTCTTCCATACATGTTAGGAATACATTCAGCCTCTCTTTCTGTAAATCCAATGTGGTCCACCACTTTTTCTGTGACCTTCCAGCAGTTATGGCTCTTTCTTGTTCCAATAGGCGTGTTAGTGAACTGATTCTTCTTTATGTTGTGAGCTTCAATGTCTTTTTTGCCCTCCTGGTTATCTTGATTTCATACATTTTCATTTTTATCACCATTCTTAAGATGCACTCCTCTGAAGGACGTCAGAAGGCCTTTTCCACCTGTGCTTCCCACCTCACTGCAGTCTCCATCTTCTATGGGACGGTCATCTTTATGTACCTACAGCCCAGCTCCAGCCACTCCATGGACATTGACAAAATAGCATCTGTGTTCTACACTATGATTATTCCCATGCTGAACCCGATAGTGTATAGCTTGAGGAACAAGGAAGTCAAGAGAGCATTTATAAAGGTTATTTTAGGGGCAAAGTTGTCGTTAGGATTGTGATTTTAATGTAGGATGCACAATGCCTGGATTCATTCTTCTCAGATCTTCTCTGTGTACTGTAGAATTATGTTTTAAGGCCCAATACTGACATTCAGTTACTGAGATGACATCCTTACCTCTGTGAAAGTCTGTTGTCTATAAACAAAGGAAATATTTTGTTCATAAATGTCATATGTCAATGTGAATGGCTAAGATATTTTGAGATCTGCTTGTCACAGTCCTTAATAATGATAATGATATGTCTTCCTGGTTCAATTTAGGTAGGTTGCATGTGTCCAGGAATCTATCCATTTCTGATAGATTTCCCTGTTTGCTGGCATACAACTCCTTGTAGTAATTTCTGATGATTCTTTTTATTTCTGTGGTGTCTGTTGTTACGTTTCCTTTTTCATCTCTGATTTTATTGATTTGGGTCTCTTCTTTTTTTTGTTAGTTGGGCCTGTGGGGTGTCAATTTTGTTTATTTTTTCAAAAAACCAGCTTCTCGTTTTGCTGATTTTTTGTAATTTTTTTTTGATTCAATCTTGTTGATTTCTTCTCTGATTTTAATTATTTCTCTTTTTCTACTAGTTTTGGGTCTAGTTTGCTGAAGTTTTTCTAGATCCTTGAGATGCATTGAAAGCTCATTTATTTGGTGCCTTTCCAATGTCTTAATGCAGGCACCTATTGCTATAAACTTTCCTCTTAACCCTGCTTTTTCTGTATTCCAAAAAATGGATAAATCTTCCATGCTCATGGATTGGAAGAATCAATATCATCAAAATGTCCATTCTCCCAAAAGCAATTTATAGATTAAATGCGATACCGATCAAAATGCCAAAGACATTCTTCACAGATCTGGAAAAAAATGATGCTGAAATTCATATGGAGACACAGGAGACCTCGAATGGCTAAAGCAATCTTGTACACAGCCCCTCCTTGCTATTTCTTCACAACTGTAAGGGCCTTTGCACTTGCTGCTCCTTGTATGGAATGTTCTCTCACTGTATTCAGGTCTTTGCTTAAATGTTACCACTTCAAAAAGTCCTTTGCCTGACCACCTTTATAAAAAATCACTCTCTGCTCATCCATTAAACTGTCCCTATACTCTATGTTCTGGTGATCTTCATGGTCCTTACTAATCCCTTTGTTTACTTATTTTCAACTCCTCAACAAGGATGTACACGCTATGATAGGAGGGACTTTGTCTTATCCATAATTCAGCATTATTACACAACAAGATGTCTGTTTCACAGTGTATTATCAGTAAATACTTGTTAAATTAATTGAACCATTATATCAAACCTTTGAACCATTAATGGTTATAGGAAGTAATCCATAATACAAAACTTCTTGGTAGGCATATTGTGCGTTTCAAGAGACTCAGTGAATTTTCTGCTTTTCTGAAACATTTTTACCCACATTCTCACGCCGTAACCACACTCTTCATTTTCAGACAAAATAATTTCATGCAAATTCCATCATTAAGTAGATATCTGCAATGATTTCATGATTTTTACATAGAACTCATGCCTCATTAACTGGCAAGTAATACAACAAGTAAGCACTGTTTATTAAATCATAAAAATCTAAAATGAGATTATTTTAAGGTTTAATATAAAAACAGTATAAATATATGTGAAAATTACTTCATACACACAAGTTACACAGTTAACTGAAATGATCCTAAAGATCCATGAAGAATATTTAAAATGACAATATTTTCCAGTAGCAAATATAAGGAACATTCGATATGCTACTAAAATACACAATCTTTATGTTTTTAATTCTAATCCTCCAAGAGCTCAATAGTATGCAAAATCAGTCCACATTTATGTGCTTCTATGTTTAATTTATTATCTGTATATAATAAGAGGTTTTAACATCTCAATTTTTAATGATAGACATGAAACTTATTTATTTATTTATTTATATTTTTGGACAGGCAGAGTGGACAGTGAGAGAGAGAGACAGAGAGAAAGGTCTTCCTTTGCTGTTGGTTCACCCTCCAAAGGCCGCCGTGGCTGGCGCACTGTGGCGGGTGCACCGCGCTGATCTGATGGCAAGAGCCAGGTGCTTCTCCTGGTCTCCCATGGGGTGCAGGCCCCAAGCACTTGGGCCATCCTCCACTGCACTCCCAGGCCACAGCAGAGAGCTGGCCTGGAAGAGGGGCAACCGGGACAGAATCCGGCGCCCCGACCGGAACTAGAACCCGGTGTGCCAGCGCCGCAAGGTGGAGGATTAGCCTAGTGAGCCGCGGCGCCGGCCTATTTATATATTTATTTTAAGATTTATTTTATTTATTTGAAATATAGAGTTACAGAGAGAGGTAGAGACAGAGAGAGAGGTCTTCCATCCGCTGGTTCACTCCCCTGATGGTCACAATGGCTGGAGCTGCGCGGATCCGAAGTCAGGAGACTTCTTCCGGGTCTCCCATGTGGGTGCAGGGGCCCAAGGACTTGGGCCATATTGTACTGTTTTCCCAGACCATAGCAGAGAGCTGGATCAGAAGAGGAGCAGCCAGGACTAGAACTGGTGCCCATATGGGATGCCAGCGCTTCAGACTTGGGCTTTAACCTGCTGTGCCACAGCGCCTGCCCCAAAGCTTATTTATTTTTTAACTTAAATTTTTATTTATTTTTAAAGATAACATCCTTCATTTACATTATTTTCAGAAGCTTAATGGCTCTAGTAAAAAAAGAGTTCAACAAATAAAAATCTAGAAGACCGGGCCTGGCTTTGTGGAGCAGCAGGTTAGGCTGCTGCTTGTAATTCCAGCATCCCATATGAGACTGTCTGTTGAGTGCTGGCTGCCCCACCTCCAGTCAAGCTCCCTGCTAATTTTACTGAGAAGGGAGTGGAAGATGGCACAAGTGCTTGGGTCTCTGCCACCCACAGGGGTGACCCAAATGGAGTTCCAGGCTCCTGACTCCAGCCTGGCCCAGCTCCAACCACTCAGGCCATTTAGAGTGAATCAATGCATGGAACATTTCTCTCTTTGTGTGTTCTTCCCTGTCACTCTGTCTTTCAAATAAATAAATATATATATTTAAAATAAAATTAAATTAAAAATTAAAAAGATCATAGTTCAGGAGGAAAATATGCAAGGGCTACAAACAATAATCAAATGAAAGCTTGTTCAACCTTACTCATATAAAGTTAATCAATATTTCTAAGATTGGGTTTGAATACACTAGGTGACCCTGCCAGTATTTTTGGAGCGGTATAGTATAATACAAATATTCACTTTTGTCCTTATGTTAGTATTTTTCCTGGTAGAAGGTATATTTCTAATTATTTTACATACTTTTTAAATTTTAAAATTATTTTGTATTTTAGATTTAAAAAATCTTTTCAAGAATAGTACAGAATTTTTAATGTAACAGGTTGAATAATGACCTACTGAAAGATCCGTGTCCTGATCCTTCTACCATTTAATGGTCTAAAAGGACTATGCTGATGTGATTATGTTAAAATATTTAACATTGAGAGGCTTCAGGGATCATTCCTGTGGGCCCTCAAGTCAATCCCTTGTATCATTGTTGGAGGAAGTCTGAGAGATTTGGCCACAGACAGAAGATGAATCAGCATGTCTGTTATGGAAGCAGATTGGAATGATGTGACCACAAACCATGGAATGCATGCAGATGATGAAGGAGGCAAGAAATGGATTGTCCACTCTAATCTACAGAGGGACCACAACCTTGCCAACACTGATTTCAGCTCCATGACACTTCTGGCTTCCAGACTGTGAAGAATAATAATTTGTGGTTTAAGATTTCCAAGTTTCTAATTTGTTGCAACAGCCACAGGGAGTGAACACAAACCCTTGTCTGGCTTCAGCTCTGTTATAATCTTATATTATTGTGAAAAATTTTCAAAACTATGAAACCAGTATTAACACAGTGTTGCTTTCTAATCTTCAGACTTTATTCAGATTTCATTGCTTTTCCCACTCATATGTTTTCTCTTGCACTAGATTTTATGTCTCCTTAATCTTTTCTGGTCTATGACAGTTTCACTATCTTTTTTCATGTGTGATGACTTTTATGGTTTTGAGGAGCACTGATCAACTGGTTTTTGTTTGTTTGTTTGTTTTTAAAGATTCATTTATTTATCTGAAAGTCAGAGTTACACAGAGAGAGAAGGAGAGACAAGAGAAAGAGAGGTCCTCCGCCCACTGGCTCACCACCAAGATGGAGGCAACAGGCAGAACTATACCGATCCGAAGCCAGGAGCCAGGGACCTCCTCTGGGTCTCCTAAGTGGGTGCAGGGGCCCAAGGTCTTGGTCCATCCTCTACTGACTTACTGGCTGTAGCAGAGAGCAGGATTCACGGAAGTGGAGCAGCCGGGACCCAAACCAGCGCCCACATGAGATGCTGGCACTGCAGGCAGTGGTCCCACCTGCTATGCCACAACACCGGACCGTCAGCTGTTTTATAAAACATATTTAAGTTCAGATTTTCAGTTGATATTTTCTTGTGATTATTGTGGGGCTATGGATTTTTGGGAGCAATACGAGAGGAATTGTTCTTATTATATCATATCAAGGACACATATTATCAAGATGATGTGGTCCTAATTTTGTTACATTTATCTTTTTTTGTGTTGCTTTTTCTTCTCCCTTTCATCCATTTTTTAAAGAAGAGTTATTTATTATTTGAAAGCCAGAGGGGCCGGCACTGTGGTGTAGTGGGTAAAGCTGCCGCCTGCAGTGCCAGAATCCCATATGGGCACCGGTTCATGTCCTGGCTGCTCCACTTCTGATCCAGCTCTCTGCTATGGCCTGGGAAAGCAGTAGAAGATTGCCCAAGTCTTTGGGCCCCTGCACCTGTGTGGGAGACCCAGGAGAAGCTCCTAGCTCCTGGCTTCAGATTGGCGCAGTTCTGGCTGTTGCGGCTAATTGGGGAGTGAACCAGCAGATGGAAGACCTTTTTCTCTCTCTCTGCCTCTCCTCTCTCTGTGTAACTCTGACTTTCAAATAAATAAATAAATCTTAAAAAAGAAAAGAAAAGAAAGCCAGAGATACAGAGGGAGAGAGAGAGCTTCCATTCTTTGGTTTACTTCCCAAATGATCTCAATGGCAAGGACTGAGCCCAGCCACAGCCAGGAGCCAGGAGTTTCATTTGGGTCTCCCACATGAGTGCAAGGGCCATCTTTTGCTGTTTTCCCAGGTCCATTAGTAGGGAGCTGGATTGGCAGTGGAGCAACCAGGACTCAAACTGGCACACATATGGGATGTTGGCATCTCATGTGGTGGCTTAACCTGCTATGCCACAATGCCAGCCCTTCTTCCCCCTATCAGTATTCTTCAGAGACAGAAGTTCAGATCACACTTCAGGTGCTGTGGAACTAAGCCCCACCTCTAGGTGAGGTCAGTATTTGAATAACTTGTTAGGAGTTTGTCTGCTGGCAAGACGGGTCTCCTCTTAGTTACTTCCACAGTCAATTATTTATATTTGTGTTATCACTAAATTCTTTATCTGTTGGATGACACTCCAATATGCCAATACTGTTAATACTAATTGAAAGACTATTCTTGGGGGGCAGTGCCAAGGTGGCGGAATAGTGAGGTCGCACACTGATAGTCCGGGAAATTATAGTTTAATAAAAGTGGAGTTACTGTAGTTTCAGAGAAAGCTCAGGAAAAAAATTGCAGAGGAAACTCTTCCAGATCTAGTGGATGTGACATGGAGGACCTACGGGGAGAGCAAGGATGCCCATGGCTCGGAAGCCCAGGTGGAGTCTGTGCACCAGCGCTGGAGGGGAGGTGAGACAAAAACCTTGGTAGCCCAAGACATTGGTGGGCAGACGGCAGAAAGAGCCTAGAGGGAACGAGGCTGCAAGCCCCCCTG